ACCTACATTCTGCCTTTTTTTTTTTTTTTTTTTTGGGTCAATATATGCTGTTCTCTCCAGGCACCTTATTTCACTTCAGTCATATGGACAACAAAAGAGCCCCTTTGGAGAAATGAAAGATAGCAATTACACATTGGTATTCATGTTACAGGAGTCACACTGCTGTCCTCAGGGAGTTTAACAATGAATATCCAACGTTAATTGCCACAGTAACTGCGTGTCTGACCTTGCTGAAATGTAATACATCAGTTTTACATACTAAAATTATTTTCCAATAAAAGATTAAAAAATAATGATCATAAAATTATATTGCTGTTTAGAATGACCAATATTTTTTGTCTTTAAGAAGATCCTGGAGGACTCAAATGGCTAGGTCACTACATTTTCTTAGGAATCAGGACACTGGGAGTTGAAATCATAATTTTATCACTGATTGGTTGGCAATTATGACAAGATTAGTGCCTTCCTTTTCTTATGAAAGGGGAATAAAATACATTGACATCCCTCATAGATCTGTGGAACTGATTAATAAGGCACAAGAATAGAGTACTTTTTATCCATTGGGGGAAAAATATTCTTTTTTTTTGTTTGTCCCTAATTATAGGTAGGATTTTCTGCTAGTAGCAGAAATGTGCTAGGAACCCTAGGATATATTTCCCTTTTTAAAGAGATGACATGATTTTTAAGGGGAAGCCTACTTGCTATCAAATTTCCTTGCTTTAATTTTTTGCTCAGATCCTCAGAAATACAGAAGCTAGATTTTCTTACATGCATTTCCCAGTTCTCTTTTCCTGGGCTACCTTCCTCTTCCTGGGTGTCGCACATCAGGAGAATTTCACACTATGCACTCTGGAAGTGTTCATCACTCGGGGTCAGGCTCCACACTGCTGGGTCAGCAGTGAGCCGGACTCCGACAGCCACGTCAGCGGGCCACGCTGGCTCTGGGCTGTGGAAGCTGTGTGTGCAGAAATGAATGATTGTTCAGCCTTCTCTCCTTTTTAAAACGGACCTAGGTGAAGAAAGTCAGTGCACTCACCCATGACATCCGAATTTCAACCTAGATGAGAGATCCATTTTTGCTTGTATTCTGGCAAAACAAGTACATGATAAATTTGAAGGCCATCTCAAGTCTGAAAAAAAAATGAACTGAATGATAGAATAGGTAGTTTTTTGCTCACCTTTTAAAGTAAGGCTGTGACGTAAATGACTGTATGTATCTACTACAGCCACGTATTATGGCTTGCTCATTGTTTTAGTGTTTAAATGATGTTTTATATGACCTTCCAGTTTTAATACAGTGATTGTTTCACAAGCGTTAACCAGGTAAAAGAGAATATAGTACACATGCAATTAGTAGGTTGTGTTTTTTGAAACTTTGAACTTTGGATTCCTTAATTCAAATTTCAAGTAGTTTTAAAAATGAACTCTCTGAATCCCATCCCCATTTTATTTTCTTTAAAGTACTTACATCTCTCTAATGCTTTATGTGTTCATAGAACTTGAGTCTGGACACTGTACCATTAGAGGGAGATTCTTGAGCAGACTCCTAATTTATTCTGCATCTTTAAAGAAATTATAGTGGAAAGCGACTCGAGAAAATGCAGCTTTAGTTAGCTCCTTTTTTTCATTTTAATGTTCTCTCCCTTTTTCCTTCTCCCATCCAACACTCCCGTCTGTAATTAAAGCAGGATGATGAAGTGACGACTGTTCGGGTTAAAGAGCAAGAGCGGAACGTCCTGGTGCTGAAGAAAGTGCAGTGCGGTGGCCCAGCCCCCCCAGCCGGGAGCGCGGAGAGTGATTGGAGGTGAGAGTTTCCACCGAGGCACGCGCTCCTGTTTCCTTCCCCTGCCTGCCTTCCCTTCCCTGCTCCATCTCACTCGCTCTCTTTGCCTCCTCTTCCCTCCCTCCCTCCCTTTTTCTCCGCCTCTCGAGCGTTCTAGCTGACTGCAGAGCTCTTAGCAGCCAGATGGACTCGGTTCCCAGTGAAAGGACAGAGATGGCAAGATCTTTTAGCATTTAGGGGATGCCTTTGTTAGTAGCCGTTCACAATGGGCAGCTCCCGCCTGAGGGTCTTTGACCCTCATTTAGAGAGGAAAGAATCTGCGGCGCTCTCAGACCGACAGCTGCCCTTGCCTACCTTCGATGTGCCTTATTTCAAATACATTGACGAGGAGGATGAGGACGATGAATGGAGCAGCCGCTCGCAGTCTTCAACGGAGGATGACTCGGTGGACTCTCTGCTCTCTGACAGATACGTGGTCGTGTCCGGGACTCCGGAGAAGATTTTGGAGCACCTTTTGAATGACTTGCACCTGGAAGAAGTCCAGGACAAAGAAACAGGTAAGGCAGGGGGTGTCTCCTCCTTCCAGACTCACAGCTGCAGCTGCCCTTGTCAGTATCATTAGGGGCAAGGCTCCCACTGTAGCTGAAACCACCGTGGGCTGGAATAGCATATGTTTTGTGCGCCTCCCCCTTGCCCTCATGCTGTTTTGTTTAAATCCAGTAAATGGACACATGTAGATCCAAGCAGCTACCTGGGAAATAGCTGTACAATGAAAATGATATGAAGGCAGATGTTCTTGTTTCTTTGGCAATTTTTACCAAATCTCACCTAAAGGCAGTTGGCAAGAGGCCAGCATTCAATAGCCAGTGTTCAATGGGAAGAAATATGGGGAGGGGGTTAGCAAGCATTCACCTGGCCTGTGGGAAGCACTGAGCTGGGGGAGGAAATGTCAACAATTAATGCAACTACTCAGCAACTATAAGCTTAGCAGCAACTTCTGCCTTTTTCCAAGTGATATACAAACTGCTGGGGGCAAGCCCTGCTGTGCAGAATATGATACTCATAGCTTCTCAGACCAGAAATTATAGTTCACTGAAGTCTTATTGATCAGACTTCTTGTCCTTTCTATTTAATCTTGGAGGAAAATACCCATTTAGCTTTTTCACACTTGCACTTTTGGAAACACTACATTGCATTTACAAAATGACCTACCCACACTTCCTTTATCACACAAGGGCAAGTACTTGCTTCTCTTAACCAGAATTTGTAATTTGTTCCAGCCTGGAGCAATTACTCCAATGAATAGGCTTCTGGCTGTAGCCTAAATTCTGTAACTTGATCCCCTGACTAAAAGGCACTTTTTGCTGCCATCACAGCACCTGTAATGCCCACAGTTTGCAATATAGTGATTGCATCAATAAAAGGTATTTGTAGGTGAATTAGTGCAGAGTAACTCCTTAGGTTTTTCCCATGCAGGAAGGATTGTGAAATGACAGCTTAGGTGTGAGTGAGAGTTTCCTTGTATCCCAGTAGTTTTGTCTGAACATAATTGATGTCTGGCTCTACACTGCGTTATAAAGGACAGTAAGAGAAACAAAGATGTGTGAAATATGTAAGCAGGTAAAAAAAAATGCAAATGACCCAATCACGTATCCTACCATAATGTTATTGTTTGATCTCAAAATTCAGATAAATACATTATTTTGCATATGTTTGGGGGGTAAAAATCAATACTTGTCATTTATACACAAGCTAAAAGAAAAATGTATTCTTGTGGCATTTGCTGGGTTGTTTTTGTATGTCTATTGATTAACATTTTGTGCATTAGAGCCCAATTCCCACGTTCTGCTTCATCAGATATGATTATCATGGAACTAGGCATAATTTCCCATGCACTGATTACCAGACTGCTTTACACAGGTGGTTTGGGCTAGATTACAGGCAAATTATCTGCCATGAAGAGGACACCTTTAAAGGTGGGTAGATGTTTTGGGGGATTGAATGCTGTCTTCTTCTTAATAGCATCACAATTCTGTTATATAAGACTTTGTGTCTAGGTCATATTAGTAAGTGTAGAAATTATTAAAGCCAATTTTAAGCCTAACTTGATTTCTTTTTTCTTTCTTTCTATTGTCATTAGTTTTTTTTAGAAAGATGGCCTAGATGCCCACTGACAAATTCCCACTATTTGACACTGGCAATGAGAAATGGCTCTGATTACTGTTCCTAGTGTCAGGAGTTGCCTCCTGCTGAGAAATGGTGTTGTGCATGGTGTCTAATGACTGCTGTACTGGCCCTGGGATCAAATATGTCACTTTAGCCATGTGTCCAGCAAGGCAAAGAGGACCAGGATTCAGTGGCTTGACCTGAGCAGGGCAGGAAGAGGCACATCAGGGTCAGCATCTCCTCATTCCTACTCATTTGCTTAGAGTTTACAGAGGACACATGAACTTCCGATTTTTGCAGAGACACTTGAGGGAAAAAATGGTAACAACTCTCCCTCCAAAAAAAGGAGAATTTTATGAAAATGAAAAAGTCAACTTTAGAGAGTGATTGTTGTATGTATAAGTGGAAGTCACATGCAATTCTTCAAACTTTATATACAGCACTTGGAGAAAATACAACAGAAAAGCTTCCATGTGGTTTTTGTTGATAAAATTAAAAGAAATATCATAAATATAAAATAAAATAAATTTCATGTGCATATTGAGGAAAAGTGGTTATTAGTTTGAATACTAAATGAATCACATGTTTAAAGTAATTAAGGCCCCTTGTCACTGACCAAGGTGAATTCTAGTTCTTTATCTTGGTCAGGCTGGCAACTCTCACTATAAAAGGCCTGCGTGTACAAGAGCCTAATAGAGTCGCATAAGCATATGGAAGACAGATGGAGGAAAATGAGAAGGGGCTGCAATAAAAGTGTACAGCAGCATTTTTATGTTCTTGAGCACCCCTTTTAGGGAGATGGAGCCATATGGGGCTGGGCTGAGCCATATGGTGGTCGTCCACATGGCCCCAGTGGCAATAAGGAGGAAAGGGTGCATGAGAGGAAATAAATGTCCTGGAGGCTGGGATGAACCTGTGCTGGATTCTTACATTCCTGTACCCTCCAGAGGCTGGGGAAGATAAGCAAGCGAGAGATCCAAGTTTTTCCCCATCTCTTTCCCACAAAGGTCAGTTAGTTGTGAAAATGTAGGTGCAAGGCCTACAATGAAAGAGACCTTCTATATCACAAAGGACAAGTTGAAGTGACTACTAATTGATGTTAACATGCAACTGGAAAAAAGTTTACTTAATTGAATGGAATAAGAAGGAGAATGCCGGGGCAATTGAAATAGTGTATTCCTGTTGCTACTTGACTCAAGAATAGAATCAAAAACAACAATACGTATGATATTCTATCACCAAGTCAAACTGAGTTATAAAATCAAAAATGTTATTAGAGATGCTTAAAAGCAACCTACTAATGATTTCCCTAAATGATTAGATCCGCACAACACTTACCATGCTTGTTTTCATAATTCCCTACATACATACCTTTCCTCCCTGGTAGTACCAGGCACAAGGGGTCATCCAGCGAATATCTATGGAATGAATGAATGAATGAGTAATGCTTCATTGTTTAAAATGGAACAGCTATTTGAGTCTGGTAACTGGATATCGGTTTGTGAACATGGAAAGTGATTGAAACTCTTTTCAAAGATTTCCTTTTCTTTCAAGGTTCAGGTTCTGACTTGAAACATTTGGAACGTTAGAGAAAAATCAAGAAGCTATCTTTCATCTTCCCAGAAATAGAGCAGACATCATTGGGCATTCCCAGCCTAGGAGAACTGCAAGGCAGGCAAGAAGAAAGAAAAACAAGTTGTGAGTAGAGGAGCAGGAGGCTGGAGGAGCAAGTTTGCGCCAGCCAGCCCTGCTCTATAGGGTCTGCGCTGGGTGCTGCTCCTGTTTAACCCTTCCCCCTCCCTGGAAAGGGTAAAGTGTGTTTTGCTTAGAGATGCTTCTGAGAATAATGATTTCTATTTCAAAGCAGGGAAAAAACTATGTATTGGATGGATTAAATAGAGAAAACCTTATTGATTTTTCTTTCTAAATCTGCATTATGACAGGCCTACCTTAGGGAAAACACAAGAGGAAATGCATTATTTGCTCCCCTCTTTTTTTCATTTCCTTGTTCTTTATTCATCTTTTTGAAGAAAATGCGCTTATGATTATAGCTTTCCAAGAAAAACAAGCAGCGAATAGGATAGTGGAACTAGGTAAAGCCTACCAGCCGATTCTTATTACGTTTGACCTGCTTTCTTCAAAGTGTGACTACTTTCTTTACCTCATGAGGTTATGCTTCAGTGTATTCTGTTAATGTGGACTCGGTGTGGAACTGTCTGCTCAGCTGCTTTGCTCTGTCGTGGATGCCTCAGTGTTGGTGGTGTGCTTTCAGCAGCTCCTAGTAGGTTGAGCATGTCGTTGAGGAAGTGAGTTCCTTACCTTCATAACGAGGCAACAACCTATATGAAAGTACCTGGATTTTATTATAGGAGTGTCTCACTCAATCTATAGAGTCCAAAAGTTATTCTCCATCACCAGCTTAATGGCTTTTTTAGAGCATTGCACTGACGGAAACTTGAGTAAAGCTAGGACAGGTACCTCATTTTCCATTAATTTTTTTATCTTCTTTCCTGCCAGCACCAAGCCTGTCATATGTGCCTGATACAAATTTATTGTGAAGAAAAATTAAGAATACTTTTCTTCTGATCATTGCATAGAAGACAATTTAGGTGAACTTCTTCCTTGATTTTCTCACCTTTTAGGATTTCTGGAAAGACATTTGGTGCCTCTGTTCCAGGCCTCCTCTTGTGGGTGGCAAGACTTTAATAACCCTGTAGCAGCATGTCTTTTGCAGGACTAAAACTTTTTGAGGGTAGGCACAGAAATTTTTAGATGATGGTAAGTCCCTCCATGATTTTGTGCAATTAATATGCACGTAAAATTATCTTGTATTTATCTTTTCTTTTTATTTTTATAATATCATGTAACACATAGACCACTGGATCTTATCTGTGGCTGCACATTAGCAGCACATGGGGTACTTTTTAAAAGTACCAATGCCTGGGGGCTGGCCTGGTGGCGTAGTGGTTGGTTCACGTGCTCTGCTTCAGCTGCCCAGGGTTCGTGGGTTCAGAACCCCGGGCGCAGACCTATGCAATGACTATCAAGCCATGCTGTGGCAGGCGTCCCACATATAAAGTAGAGGAAGATGGGCACGGATATTAGCCCAGGGCCAATCTTCCTCAGCAAAAAGAGGAAGATTGGCAACAGATGTTAGCTCAGGGCTAATATTCCTCACACACACACAAAAAAAAAGTACCAATGCCTGGGTCCCACCCCAGAGATTCTGATTCAGTTGACCTGAGTTGGGGCCTAAGCCTTATGGGCTTTGAAAGCTCCCCAGGTGATGCTAATATGCAGTGAACTAGAACACTGACTTTCTCTCACTTCCCATTTTTTTTCCTTAAAGACATATTCTAAGTTTCTAATAGTATACATATATACATGCCTC